ACCATTTACTCCAATACAGAAAATAGCAAGCTTCCTTTCATTCCTTTGCAAATGTGCTCCCTACATTTCTCTATTACTATTCAAAATTCATTGACTTCATTATCATTCAGGACCAAAGCCAAGTAATTTGCGTGTTTTTTCTTTCTACATTGTTTCCAACCAGTCTGTTCTGGTTTTGGTGGTTCCCCTCCACACGGACTGCCCATTCCCTCCCAGCTTAAACGCTGTAAAAGAGTCAACCCCATTTCTTTCCATTCCCTTTACAACATACAACTGCCAAACAGAATACAAGATGCTTAAGAGGAAAAGTTTGTTTGGTCTGTCCAATATTCACCTACAAACAGACTCATCAAGACCCTTGTACTATCTCTTACCACAAATGTGAGCACTTCACTGTTGTCCATAGGTGCTCTCCAACAGTACTTTCTACATCTTACCTGTTGCACATTGGCAGCTAATTGTACTTCACTGTTTCTATGGTGTCTCCCCAACTCCAAACTTTGAACCTGTTCTGTCCAGTTTTTCCATATCAAACCATTCCTCAAGCACTCTGGCTACATTTGCTTTACTTTTTCAACACCTATTTTCCAGAGCTTATTATTTCTAACTTATATTTTTACATAACCTACTGTCTTCCTCTACTTCCATAGAAAACACAAAACAGTATTTTGGTTTTATCTCCTAAATCTGAGGTGACTGTTTGGCCCACTGAGTCATACTACAGTATGTCTACAGTCATACTCAGTCTTGCAACAGAGACTTGAGAATGCTTCCCCATGCCCTCCAAAAGTCAGCTGTTTCATTAAACACACTCTGAATCAACATGGGTTTTGTGTATATCACTTCCAGTTTCTGACAATCTAATGATCCTAGCTTCCCCAGGCCAGGCTGGCAGTCTGGAAATAAAGTGTCTTTAAAAATAAACAAGCACATATCTGCTAACTCAGTCAGCTATTTCAACCATCAACTCTCAGTTATTACTTCAAACAGCTGTAGAATAACAGTTGCCTGTATCTAATACTTTAAGCTCCACGGTCAGGAAGCTGCTGACTGAAGGGCTCAGTGATATTTAATCCATAATTTACAAAGCAACAAAGAGAAAAACGAAAAAGTAAGACAAGTTTGTTACACAAAATACTGGTTTCAGCAAAACTGGCATACGTGGTCGTGGCCCTCCTGGTCGCTAACACCCTTCTCAGGTGCTCGGTTGTTCATCTACTGGATCCTTAAAATGATCTCTAGCAAGGGCACCACTAAAAAGAGGGCTATTCTTAAGCTGGATTGTTTCAAACATTCACAGAGTTTACAGTGAGACCTTATGTATAATGGGAGCAGCTTAACTGAGGATTAAGTAGAGTAAGAGAAAGGAGAGGTTAAGAGTGAAAGGCAACTTCTCAAGTTGGTGAAACCCAAGCAACAGGCAACTGCAGACACAACAATATAGCATTAATCAGAAATACTGGTTTTACTTGCACAAATGCACTTGGTTTTACTCCTCCTACTAGTAAGCTGATTTTCAAAGTGAAAATCCCTCCTCCAATATGGAACGTATAGCAGAATGTTCCTTTAAAAGATTTGATTAAGATTAGAAGACATGCCAGCACAGTGGAGTTTGTATCTTCTTTCCCCCAGGTTCAGCTTACCTTCTCGGCGATCATTTCGAAGAACCCGCACTTTTTCAATTTTTCCCAGGAGAGCACCATCCTCAGCTTTATTAAAAAAAAAAAAAATAGAAAAAAAAAGTGGTGAGAATCTGTTTGTATACCATAAGAGAGACTGTCTTCAGAGGTAAAAAAACCCACAACTTTGTAGTGGAAAATGTTTATAGTCACAAATACTTAAATATAAGAAATACACTTTAAAAAAATACCTACTTGTCTCACCAGAAATAAAGAAAAGTTACCAGGTTAAGATATTACTACCTTCATGATGTTACTGAAACCTCAACTACTTTTACACTCATGAAACATTTTTATTAAATTATATTCTCTTTGTTTATTTTAGTTTCTATATTGCAGAAGAAAAAAATAAACTTTGATAGGATTAAATAAATTTCTTTCCATATAAGTTCACTTTTTAACCAATCTTAAGGGTTAAACCTATCCTGAACTAGCTACAAACTAACAATGCAGTTTAATGTAGACATTAAATTCCTTTAAGAAATGTTACTCAGAGGCCCATTTCAACTGTTCAAGTTTGTATTGTGATATCCTAGCACTTAAAAAGACCTTGTCTTATTTTAGATTCAGTATGAATTTTTCCGAGAGACTAGAGATCAACATTCGTTTAAAGCAGCACTTTTGGTTTAAGCATCATGGGCTTTATTTTTACATCAGATAATGTGCTACGTAAAAGCTGGTTTTAGTTATATACTCCGTTCCTTCAGCTAGCATGAAGTAATAAAAATATACTTGAAGTATTTATCAGAACTCTTCACATTTCCACAATGACAGATATGAAAGTATTATTGAATCAGTCTCTGCAAACTCCTATTCATACTACCTATTCTTAACCAAGTCACCTACTAGTGTCTACAGAAAGTCTTACCAGAAAAAAGAAAATAAAGTTAAGACCCCATAAAAGTACTTACGATCGTTACTGTAGTCATCCACTAGTATGATTTCCTTAATAAGATGTGATGGACTTTTTTTAAGGACACTAAAACAGACCAAAAAAAACCCATGTTCAATACTACGCAGTCTTATTTTTTCATAATGATGTCATAAAAGCAGTTATTTTGTTAAAGTCACAGTAGAACCTAGCTAGGGATCCTATCTTGAACAGCAGTTATTGGCTTATTCTTATAGAAAGCATTTGTGAAGGGAGGCTAATACAATCATTCCCCCCCAAGTTTCCAACCTCCAGAAATGAGTGGATTAGACAGCTTGTAACATGGAAGTCTTGCTTCCATGTTACAAACTTCAGGCCAAATATCCCCTGAGAATTCGTCTTCCCCAAGTTTTTCTTGAAACTGGTTGCACAGCCAACCTCCAAACAACTTCTAGTAATCAGTTCTGCACTTCCATATGTGTGTAGTTAAGGGGAGCAATTTTGTTTAATGCTGCTATTTCAGAAGGTAAGAACTAGAGGCATCCATGAAATTAAGGTTCAGCTTTACCCCTGCAAACGGTTCAGAAAAGCATAATGGATTGTTACTTCCTTTCCTTATCATAAGCTATTATCTAACACAAGTGAATGGCCTTTGGGGATGTGGGGGGCAAATCAAAGTCTTTCTTAGGTATACCTGACAACAGTTCGAAGCAACGCAGATCTTGCCTCATTATGGAAGGTGATCACCACACTAGTGGCTGGCAAATCTATCCGCCATTGTTTCCGCTGACACCTGAAAGACATAATACCCTGTCATTTAAAGATAATATTTACATACCCTGCTTAGCAGACAGCCTTCATTGGGAAGCAATTATCTATTAAACTCACATACACACCATATCTACCTAGGAGGAATGAAATGTCTTGTTTGTAGGTGAGATTATAATCAACTCTTCTTCTGACTAAGAAGTCAGTGTCAGATACAGGCAGGTTCAGAAAAGTCACTGGATTAACATCACTGCAGTATATCACAAATACTTCTCATGCAACCAAGTATGAAACCAGATTGCCTATTTTACTTAAAAAGCATTCAATTAATCTAAGCAAATGAGCATATTTTCAGTACAAGTGCATGGGCTCATGGGCTACCATACTTTACTCTTCTTTAGCATGGCACGTGTCCACTTCTCCCTTTATTTTTAAATCTACTGTAGCATCTTGGTCTTGTTCACAGATACAACTTCTCATTAGAATAGAAAAGTGTTTTTAAGGATTGTAACTTCAGGAATTTGAAGAACATAGCTAGCTGTGACAATGTGGAGCCAGCTAAACACGGAAACACATCCTTCCAAACCATAAAGATAACAAAATTGTCCATCTATGTCAATTCATTTTCATCACCTCTGAATTAATATAATAAGCAAGAAGAAGCAAATTCCAAAATACTTCCTGCAGGATTACGTAAAGTTAAGCTGCTTAAATCCACTGACAATAAACCCAAAAAAGACACTACTGTCATTGTATCCAACACTAACAATACCAGAAAACACTGTACATCAGTTTATGTTGAAAGCATTAACAGTCTGACAGGTCACAACACTGATCACCCTGCACACAGCAACATACAAGAGTGATGTATTTCTTCACATATCCTTTATTTAATGTTAGTGGTAGAGTTTTAACAGGCCTAGTTTTCTTCAGAGGCGAAAAAGCCAGCTAGCATACACCTGTACCAAATTCAGCAAGTAATTCCACACTTGGTGCAGTATTAATGAAACTAACTTTGAAGGGAAGAGAGGTGAGTTACATTGCTACCTAAACTTTTCAGCTAAGTATCTGCCTATGTAAAATGCACCTCCACACCCAATTAAATACCATAAACCACATAACCTCAAAATTCTTGGAATGGGAGAGTGAGCAGCAATGCACATCTTGCCCTTGCCCACCCTACAGAATCCCAAGGACCTACAGTGGTTTTGATACAATACACCCCTAATGTCAGAAATATTAGTGCTTGCCATGAAACAAAACATTTTTGTGCCTGGGTGACCTCATGTGCTCTGAAGAAAATCCCATGCCAACCCTACAATTGCTGTGTCAGATTAGCAAGACCTTATCTAGCTCTTTTCTCAGTGGGCATACAAGATGGCTTCATCTCTAGTGCCCAGCATTGAAGCAATAAATCAAAAAATTCTGTGTGTTCCTGGAAAGTAAATAATTAAGACCTTTTTCTAGCGTGAGCTTCTTCCAATTCATCTAGACAGCTACAACACATCCAACTATTATACACCAAGGCCTATGGTGCCAAAAGAGAGATTCTTTTTTCTGCTAGCTTTTAAATTGCCCACAGAGGACAACCCTACTGTGCATGTAGTTAACACACAAAGCACTTGCATTAGTATAATTTAAAAAGTCACTATAAACTTATACTGATCTCTTTGCACTTGAAGAGAGCACTTGAGCCAGAGTGCATCTTATGGTGGAATTACTTAAGGCAATGAAGCCTCTCAATTTTAAGAAAACTCAAGAGAAGAGCACTACTGCACATTTCTGAGGGAGAAATTAAGATTTTTAGACTCCTAAATATAACTGTTTCACTAACTGATTTCTGCTCTCAGCTCTTCAAAAATGCCTGCTTTAACTGACTTGGTAGCAGTCCTCGTATTCAGCTGTGTCAATAGTGACACAGTTGAAACTCAAACAAAAGTAGTGTCATTGCTTTTAGAACAGAGATTAGACTTTCATTCCCCAAACTACAGAAGAATACCTCTACATGTTAGCTCTGCTACAGACAGAATGCGCAAACACATTTGGATAAAACAGAACTTGAACTGGAAACTTTAATATAGACCTTCACTGCTTAGTATATATGTCATTAAAATCAGTTAAAACATTAAAAGTACATTCTTTTCCCCAGAAAGTTGAGTCACTGGACTAGTTCATATCATTAATAAATTTTCTGAAACTTCTGTAGTTTGCTGAAACTGACAGAAGTATGTCCATGAAGCAGTGCAAGAAGAACATTCACCTCAACAGATATCTGGATACCAAAGAGGCTGGACAGTTTGGTTCTTCTCTACTGAAGAATAAAACTTGGGTGTGAGGTCAGAAGCTTCTAATGGCTACCAAATGAGAAACAAAACACCGTTCAGTCCAGCTGAAGTACTTTCCAGTAATTCAAGAATCATGCCAAAACATCAGGTAAAAGACACGATCAGAAACCATCGGTCCAAAGTAAGCGTGGTGGACATTGGTTCACAAAAAAATGGAGGAATATTTCACCCTTCATCCCACTTGGGAGATTATTTTACACTGACAACAGAACAGATCTGGAAGTCTCCTACTACGACTGTGAGACTCACTTTCTGGATCTCCAAAATCTACCATGATAGATAGATGAGGGATAGCTCTCAGTTACATGTCATAAACAGACTGCAGCAGAAGGCAACCCAGAGGCTTCTCAAAGCTGTTGGAAGTGGCAGGTGTTAGCATCAGCTGGGGCGAGGAAACGG